GGCCGAGATCAGATATTTTTTATGCCAACGAGAGACAGTAGCACACACACGCGCACACACAAGATACACACCCACACGCGCACACCCACACCGACACACACCAGCGCAGGCAGGTACGCGCACACAGACGCATGCACAGACACAGGTATGTACGTCCACAGCGTTGTCAGGAAGCGGAACATCTGACCCGTAACTATGGCTGAGGCGGAATGCAAATGATCTTTTATGAGGAAGTAGCTAATTATCTGCCGACGGTTGGGGGGGGGGGGGTGGGGGTGGTGGGGGGTGGGGGGGGGAGAGATAGGGGTGGGAGGTGGAGGGGGATCTGACAGGGAGAATGGAGAAAAGAGCAGGTGAAGAGGAGTCAACGGAGCTCGCTGTCGCACTGCCAGCTCGGACGCGATGGGGTGAAAAGCCTCCTCCTGTGCTGTAATTAGCAAGCTTGGAGCGTGACATCTTGTGTGTGTGTGCGTGTGTGTGCGTGTGTGTGTCTGCGTGTGTGGGGCACAATTCCTTACGTCCACAGAATTCCAGTCTCAAAAAAATAACCCCATGATCTGAGGGGCCTGAGAGAATCTTATTTAACGAACTTTCAAATCGAATTAAATCATTTCCTTCCAATAAAACTGCGGCTGATTTGCCACGAACGGAGGCCGTGGGGAAAATTCCGGTGGCTCAGTCCACGGCCGTTTGTGGGGACGCTGCTGCTGCTGCGCGAAAAATTAATTGGCTGCCGCGTCTCGTGGATAAAACACACAGTCACTCCACTTTGTAGTGTGTTTTGTGAAGCGCTTTGAGACGTCTCGAAGACGTGATAAGGCGCTGTATCGAATGCAAGGACTATTATTGGTGTGTGCGCGAGCACGAGTGTGTGTGCATGAGTGTGTGTGCATATATGTGTGCACGTGCGTCTGTGTGTTCATGAGCGTGTGTGTGCGCGCGTGTGTGTGTGTGTGTTCATGAGTGTGTGTGCATATGCGTGTGTGTGGGAGATGTGTTGACGCTGTGGGCGAGATATCGAATGTAAGAGATTACCGGGATAACAGTCGGGCTATTTAAGGTGGAATAAGACACACAGGGACACTCTCGGCAGAGAAAAGGGGCGCAAGAGATTTGGCAAGATATTTCTCCCTGTCCCCCTCGCTCGCTCCCTCCCTCCCTCCCTTCCCCCATCAGAGGATCAGAGCATTAACACAACCCCACCCCCCCCAAACCCAACCCCCCGCTTGTCCCACTCCGGCTCTGACTGCTGGATATTAATTAAATCTGGAAGCAAAACATCTGTGGAATCTCCATGAGGTCAAAGGATTCCTTACACAGAATAACGTGCGATTGAGTGAATGGGTGTGAGAGAGAGAGAGAGAGAGGCGGGTGGGGGGTGGTGGGGGGAGAGGGAGAAAGCGAGAGGGAGGGAGCGAGAGAGCGAGAGAGAGTACAAATTAACCCCCGGGCGGGTAAGGACTCAAAGCTGCGGAGGTTTAACAGACCCTCCATACATCAGTAACACAAATGTGGACCAATAAATCTCAATTTGGATACAATTGCCGTGGATCCCTGTTATAAGGCGGTGGTTTGTGGTCATGGGGGGGGGCGGGGGGTTTGGGGAGGCGAGTGATGGGTGGGTTGGCGGGTGGGGGGAGTGGTGAAAGGACAGATGGGGACGAGGAAAAGGGAGAGAAGTCCGTAAAATCCCCCAAACCCCCCAACACCCACCCTCCCACCCCCACTCAAGCCCTAAAACGCGAAGCAATCGCCGGCCCCGTCCCTCCCCTCGTACCGTCACCGTCGCATCGCGGGGGACGACACACGGAGGGTATAAAAAAAAATTTTTTTTTATATAATAAATGGCCGAACATCAGGTCGTCGTGACCTCACAGGAAGTGACTCGGGTCGGCCGGAAGTGAGGACACCTTCCCGCGCGGTCTATAGGATAAAATGGCCGACTCCTGCGGGATCAACGGCGGCGACCTGATGACTTGGAAGTCGGGCATTTTCGGTTTAGCGGGAAGGGAAGGTCCCGCCAACGGTGAAGCGATGCGATAGCGTTGGTGTGGTGGGGGGGGGGGGGGGGAGGGGGGAGGAAGTGGGGGGAGGGGGTGTGGGGGGACACACATACACAGCTTATAACGGGGTTCCGTGTGAATATTAGCCTGAAAATAAGGGAGGATTGGGAATTTAACCCCCTCGCCGGAGGCTGCCGAGGCCGGAGTGACGGATGGATTATTCTCCGGCAAAGAGCAGGTTAAGGAGCTGAGCAGCAACGAGGTGGGGAGATGGACAGAGATAGAGGGAGAGAGAGAGAGAGACAGAGAGAGAGAGAGAGAGAGAGAAGATAGCGAGAGAGATAGAGGGAGAGATTACAGAGACAGACAAAGAGACGCAGACTGTATCGTGAAAGATTATCTCGTCTCTGGAGTCTCCCAAAAACCCGCTGACTTGTCCAGGGGTCAAGGAGTTTGAGTTGGCGCTCGACAAGTCGGTGCAGGTCTGGGCTTCCATGCCAACCGCCCATGGTAGCACATCGAGGCGGCGGTGGGGGGTGGGGGAGGGTGGGTGAGAAGGGAATAGGGGGGGCTGGAAATTCATGAGGAGGGGTGGGTGGGTGGGGGGCGGGCGGGTGGAGGCAAGAGAATTCCCGAAAGAGGGAATGTTTCCGTGCTCACAGTGCCAACACCAGCGCCTGCGCCAGGCTGGGCCGCGTCTCGAGTTGGGAGAGGTTTGAGCGAGAGGCACTTTGTCAACACCAGCCCCCCCCAACTCCCACCCCGCACACACCCACCCCCCACCAATCCCCCCCCCCCCACCCCAGGGGTGTGTAAACGTGCCCGAACAGGAGGAGCGCGCTCCACACGGAGTGAGAGTGACGCAGAGAGCGTTCCGAGCCCAGGTTTCCTGCCTCGGCTGCTTTTTTTAGTCACTGGTGCCTATGTGTTAAATCGGTCGCGGTTTCTCGGGGGAATCATCAACCAACTCAGTTTTAGCTCCAGACAAGCCGAGGCCTGTCCCCCGCTTCCTCTCGGAAGACCCGTAACTCTGGGCGACCGATCAGTGCGTTCAATCGCACAGTTTGTGACGCGATTACCCTTCCCCTCTCCCCCCCCCCCTCCACCAACGACCCCATCCCCTACATCCCCCACTTCCCTTCCCCCTCCCCATCCATTATCTCAGCCACTCCCCGCTCTCGCTCCCTCCAATAATAATAATAATCCTCGCGTCTGATGCAGCGCCTTATCGCGTCCTCGATGCCTCTCAAAGCGCTACGTAGAAATGGACTGTAAAGCGTAGTGACTGTTGTATTTTGCGGGCGAAACGAGGCAGCCCGTTGCGCACAGCAGCGTTCCCGCAAACAGTCGGGGATTGAGCGACCGATTCTTTTCACGTAGAGGGATTATTTCCCCTCGGAAAGCGATCCGCCCATCGTAACCCTTGTTCCTCTCGCTTGCGAGGCGAGCGCTCTAACCGCTACCCTACGGGACTCCAGAGTTTAGGATTAATGGCCAGGACGCCGAGAGAAACTCCCTTCCCTTTTCCTCGACAGCGCGGCGGGAAATCTTTAACGTCCACCTGAAAACGGGGCAACAGGACCAGACCTCGTGCACACGTGCCCTGGTTTGCTACCCTGGCAGATCGTAAAAGCCAAACCGGTCTCCTCTGCTCTCTCTCTCTCTCTCTCTCTCTCTTTCTCTCTCCCTCCCCCACAGCTTCATCCCCCCCTCCCCACACCCCGTCTCGGGAGATTGGAAGGCAATTTTGTGAAACTTAAAACGTCCCCCTGTTGGACACTGGGGAATTGACGTCACATTAAACAAAATCAAGTGACTCATTAATTCATTATGTCATTAGTCGACCTTCTCATTAAAGGCTCATAACACAAGACCATCCTGATGCTGAATCACATTCCCCCTCCTTCCCTCCCTCTTTTTTCCTTCCCTCCATCTCTCTCTCTCTCTCTCTCCTTCTCTTGTCCACACGTCATGTGCAGCATATTCCAAAGGTGTCAGCTTCCTGCCCTCTGGCCCTCACCCTCACGCCCACCTCACCCCCGAATACCAAACGGGTTCCTGCTTACTGCTGGACAAACAGAGCCGCGCGTTGTGTGTGTGTGTGTGTGTGTGTGTGTGCGCGCGTATGGAGTAAGGAAACTTGCCTAAGGTTTCATCCTGACCCGGGAATCGAACCCGCTTCCTCTCGCTTGCCAGGCGAGCGCTCTAACTCACGACATGGCAGGACTTCACACGTTTAGCTTGTGATTGTAGGCCAGCGCCTTGGGACGTACGTGACATCCTCCCAACATGAAAAGCACTATACAAATGTGGTAATAATAATAATAATAATAATAATCCTTGCATTTGACACAGCGCCTTATCAGGTCTTTTGAGACGTCTCAAAGCCTTTACAGAAATATACTGTAAAGTGAATCGACCGTATTCTGTGGGCGAAACAATTGTATAACCTATTGCTGTGCGTGGAAGGAGGAGTGTCAGCGGTCGTGTGAGAGTTTGTGTGTGCGTGAGTTGTTTGTGAGCGCGTGTTTGAGTGTGTGTGAGGGTGTGCGTGTGAGTGTGTGTGTGTGAGCGAGTGTGAGGGTGTGCGTGTGAGTGTGTGTGTGTGTGAGCCAGTGTTTGAGTGCGAGTGAGTGTGTGCGCGCGTGAGTTGTTTGTGAGCGCGTGTTTGAGTGTGTGTGAGGGTGTGCGTGTGAGTGTGTGTGTGTGAGCGAGTGTGAGGGTGTGTGTGTGTGTGTGAGCCAGTGTTTGAGTGCGAGTGAGTGTGTGCGCGTGTGAGTGTGTGTGTGTGAGAGCCAGTGTTTGAGTGCGAGTGAGTGTGTGCGCGTGTGAGTGTGTGTGTGTGAGAGCCAGTGTTTGAGTGCGTGTGAGGGTGTGCGTGTGAGTGTGCGTTTGTATGAGCCAGTGTTTGAGCGCGTGTGAGGGTGTGCGTGTCAGGGTGTTTGTGTGTTGCGCGTGTGTTTACCGTTGTGGGGGTGTGAGGGGGTTGGTGTTTACCGTTCTCGGGGTGCTCGATCTCGCCGATGCTGCCATCGGGGGTGGTCCTCTCGTAGTGGTCCTCGGGGAGAGCGAGGGGCCCGAGCCGGGGCCCGGAGGAGGACTTGCTGCTGGGGGTCTCAGACTCCTCCAGGCCGCTGTCATAGCAGCTGTGCTGTGAGGGGTCTGGCACGTCCTGGGGCTGGCTGGCCGTCGAGAAGGTCACTCGTCTGTGAGACGCCTGCGGAGGAGAGAGAGAGAGAGAGAGAGAGAGAAAGAGGGCGAGAGGTCAGTCACCAGCCGGGCCCCACATTCACTGGCTCACTCACTCATTCACTCGCTCCCTCATTCTCTCCCTACCTCCCTTGCTCCATCCCTCCCTCCCGCATTCGCTCGCTTCCCTCTTGCTCTCCATTCCTCGTTCTCTCCCTCATTCATTCCCACACTCACCCGTTTACTCCCTCTCTCCCTCACTCACTCGTTCACTGTATCCCTCTCTTGCTCCCTCTCTCTCACACTCACTCGCTTTCTCCTCACTCATTCTCTCCCTCCCTCTTCAGTCACTCATTCCCTCACTCTCTCATTTTTTCCCTCCCTCCCTCCCTCCCTCCCTCTCTCCATCTCTCCCTCCCTCGCTCAACCAAACTCCTTCAAAACATGACGTCAATAATAAACGAGGGAGAGATCTTTAACGTCCACCCGACACAGCGCTGGAGAGTCAGCCTGGACCGGGAGCTTAAAGTGTTCCCCCAACCCCTTCCCCCACCGCCCCACCCCACCCAACCATCCCAATGTTTGGAGGAGAGCCTGGGGTTGGTATCTCTAAAACCTGTCAAGACCTCGTGAGACTCTCAACCGGTCTCAATCCACGGCTGTTGGTGCGCAATTGGCTGCCGCGTTTCGACCACAAAGCATACAGTCGCTACACTCCACCGTATCTCCTGGGAAGCGCTTTGAGACGTCTCAAAGACATGGTAAGGCGCGAGGATTATGATTGTTATCATTAAGGGCTTTCACAAACATTCCCTCACCGGGGTCCGTCACTACATTTCCCCGCAAAACACCGCGTCCGTCTTGTGCCACAAATAACCGGGATAGCTGACCGGGACAGTTAAGAATCAGCGCATTAGCTGAATTTTGGCCCTGTGCGTATTCACTTAACTCGAGCGAGTGATTCTCATTATATCCTGCTCTGACCGAGTCAACCCCAATCTCTCCCTCTCTCCATCTCTCTCACCGCTGTCAATGCTAAAAAAAAATTTGTGCGTGTGATCCTGACACACACGCGCGCACACACACTGTTGACTGGGCAACCGAGCGGGGATGGGAGGGTGGGATAGCCGAGAGGGTGATTGGGGTATGGGGGTGGGGGTGGTGGCGGTGGGAAAAGATGACCAAAAGCGCGGTCGGTCAAAGGGGTTGGTCTCCAGACGAGCCGGTGGGTAACGACTGGAGTTTAACCTGCTCAAGAACACGCAGCTTGAGATACAATAAGCCCAACAAGTCGCTGAATCTCACCCACTGGCCCCTCAGAAACAACGGTGCGAGGTTCCGGCGTGCGGAGGAAACGGCGGTGGCACGATGCTAAGAGCTTCATGTTTAATGGATGTCCCAGTGCAGGTGCAGCATTACGCTCCAGATATGAATATTTGAAAATTATTTATTTTGCTCGCACAGGTGGCAAAGCAAATCAGCCTCCGTCAATCTGCAGGTCCCTGCGGTTCATACAGCAACACACGCTGTCTCTGTCTCCCCACCACCCTCTCGCCGCACACCCACCCACCCACCCACCCACCCACCATCCCCCACCTCACACAAGCGCACACGTACGTTCTCCATCCCCCTCCCCCCCCCCCCCCCACCACCTCTCCCGCCCACACGGCTTATCAGGCCATTAATCACGGCTGATCTTACACATTGCTCAGCAATGCTATAAACACGTTGACCCTCCGGGGTCGAAGTCCCCCCAGGTCTGCAAGTCCTGGCAAGTCCGCGCGTACGTTCCAGTGTCTGACTCGGCTCTTGGCCTCACCCCGGATTAAACACACCGTTACGGCACTTGGCGCAGGTGTCGATTTTGCTGCGCAAACCAGTCCCTGCACTGTAACAACATAAGACGTCGCTGGGCGAAAGGAGACCAAAGTCCATCCATTTCGCCTCTAAGTTCACGACTTCCGTGGGTTTACGACTTGTGCCAATCGCTGTAACGCCACTGATTGTGAGGCTCTGACACAGACACGGATCCGGTTTCACCGCCCAACGTTAATTATTATTGAGTCTCGTCTGGGTTAAGGCTTAATGTACGTACACCACTGGTGTCGCCCCCCCCCCCCCCATATTCTCTCCTAAAGGCTCCTAACTGGCTGGTGTGACTCGTTGGGCCAACGCATTGTCCACTGTGCCCGCGGGCTGTGAGGAAGAGGGGTGAGGAGGGAAGGGGGGGGGAGAGAGAGTGAAAGAGGGAGGGGAAAAGAGGTGAAAAGAGGGGATTTGAGGTGAATTTCCCCATGTGTGGGAGCTGTTGACCTGGTTTGGTTATCGATGTCTATTTGAGGGGGTCCTGGCGTGAGCGGGCACAGCGTGAATTGCCCCTCTCCCCAGGCCCTCCCTTGCCAACCACCACCCCCCCGCCCCCACCCCCCACCCACCCACCATCACCCCGCAAGTCCTGCACTCAATCTCTCGACAAAATCCACAGACGTTCTTGGAAAGAGCAGCCGAGAGCAAGGCCTTTTCTGGAGAGAGATGTTCGTGTGACATTTAGCGAGTGTTTGGGAGGGGGTGGAGTGGGGGGGGAGGAAAGGGAGGGAGGGGGTAATTAGCTACAATTACTCTGCTTTTCTTGTCAAGTTTCTTGACAGACAAATTGTGACCTCTTAGCTCCTCGGAGAGAGAGAGAGCAGCACTGACTCCTCAAACGGTAATCAGTGTCCGCCTCTCTCCCCGCGGCTGCACCATTTCCAAATACACACACACACTCACTCACATACACACACACTCACTCACATACACACACACTCACTCACATACACACACACTCACTCACATACACACACACTCACTCACATACACACTCTCACTCACATACACAAACACTCACTCACATGCACACACTCACTCACTCACATGCACACACTCGCTCGCATACACACACACTCACTCACATACACAAACACTCACTCACATACACACACACTCACTCGCATACACACACACTCTTTCACATACACACACTCACTCACTCACATGCACACACTCGCTCGCATACATACACACTCACTCGCATACACACACACTCGCTCGCATACACACACACTCACTCGCATACACACACACTCGCCCGCATACACACACACTCACTCGCATACACACACACTCACTCACATACACACACACTCGCTCGCATACACACACACTCACTCACTCACATGCACACACTCGCTCGCATAGACACACACTCACTCACATGCACACACACTCGCTCGCATACACACACTCTCGCTCGCATACACACACACTCGCTCGCATATACACACACTCGCTCGCATATACACACACTCGCTCGCATATACACACACTCGCTCGCATACACTCACATAGACAAACACACCCACGCGCCCACAGACATGCACACAGATACAGATCAGACTTGCGCACGCGCGCACAGACACCGACACACGTTTCACATCCACACACTCTGCAATGTTTCACTCATTAGAACAATTTTCAGGCTGTGTCAGTCTGGTGTCTGAAATCTAAACCCGTCACCGTGATCAGCCGTGTGTCTGACACACACACACACACACAGGCGCGTGGAAACCCATCACTGTTCTTAAGGAGATCCAGACAGAGGGCCATGTGTGTGCGTCACCTACACACTGAAAACCCCCCAACCCCCCCAACCCCCCCACCTCCTCCCCCACCCGGACACCTCGATTAGCTCATCTCAGGTGAGGAGTGTTCCTGAGAGATGCGAAAATTATCATCTAACCACGGCTCGTTTTCACGGGCCTGTCGCCTTTTCAACAGAAGTCCGGAATAATTTCGAGCCGCAAATGAGCTGCCGTGATTAACATTCCCTGAGAAATCAACCGTTCCTCGGGAAGTCCTGCCAAGCTGAAGATTTCCTTTTCGGGGAATGAATTATTCAATTCCTGTTTCTCGCTAATTATTAATTTAGATTAAAATGCTGGATTTTACCCAGAACGACATGTAGCTAAGAGCAAATCCCTCCAGGCGATGGGGGTGGGGTGGGAGGGGGTGTGTGAGAATGAATCCATTGCGGGTGTTGTGACGTGTGCCAAACCCAGAAGTCACTGATTGAAATGTTAACGGGATCAAAGAATATCGGAGATGAGAGAGAAGAGAGAGCGAGAGAGTGGGGGGGGGGGGGGGAAAGGAGAGAGTGTGAGCGAGAGACGGAGAGAAAGAACAGGGAGACGCAAAAGAGCAAACGAGAGTTTCCAGAGGGTGGGGGAAGAGTGGCTGAAGGCCCACCCGCCCAACGGCGGGGCGGGCGAGGCGGGGGGAACGGGGACGTGAAAGCACGTCCCCAGTGGTCACCAACACGGGGACAGGGAAAGTTATTCTGGAGAGATATTCGGCGCAGGTTGGCAGGAGCCGAGGGCTTGGGTGGAGCCCAGGGGTTAGCGTGCGTGGGGAGGTTAACTGCTGGAGTCTCACCGGTCAAACCCGCATAGTTTGCCGCTGATATCACTCTCGATTCCACTCCATTAGCTCCACTTATTCATGTCACTCCATCGGCAGATGCATAGATACACCGAGAGATTTTTTAAGCAGGATTTAGCCTGGGCATGTGTAATCCAGGACAGGTTAAACCTGTTTGCGAAGGATTACACTCCACACACACACACACACATAGACCTGTACGATGTCTCCACTTAACCGTACACATGACAAGCAAAGTAGTTTGGTTAGGTCTGGTTGTGTGGGGAGGGGGATTGGGGGAGAGAGAGAGAGGGAGGGAGGGAGAGAGGGAGGGGGAGAGAAGAGAGAGACAGTGGGGGAGAAAAGAGAGAGCGAGAGGAGAGGGGAGAGAGAGAGAAACAAAGGAAGAAAGAATGAGAGAGGGAGAGGGAGAGAAGAGGAAAAGGGAGAGAGAGAGAGAGAGAAAGAAGGAGCGATAAAGAAAGAGGGAGAGGAGGAGAGGGAGATGGGAGGGGGTGGGGGCTGTCGGGGAGTGAGAGTGAGAAAGGGGGGGGGGAGACGGGGGGAAGAGAG